AGTCGAGACGTTTTATGAGCTGGTGAGGGAACCTGAGTAGGTGGGAGGAAACTGACAGGTGGACGGCGAGACAAACAGAGGAACAAAGATATGCAGAGACACAGACATACCTAACAGGAAGCCTGAGATATCTATGAGAATGATATCAAGAGAGCGCTGGCAGAGTTATGGTTTTCACGCTCAGATATGTCAATAAAGGACGGGCGGGTGGGTAAATCGACTAATTTTGAACACAAAAGAAAAACTTTGCATGTTTTGAGTCATCGTCCCTTCATCACAAGGGAAGACAAATAAAATGGCCAACAGGAAAAGCAATTGTCCAGTTCAGAGAAAAAGAAAAAGGTCGTCTCTTAAATGAAGTGCACCCTCAGACGTCCTGGTCCAACCTGAACTGGCTCATGGTGATCAGTAGAAATACAAAATTAAAAATGCATGACATATTAATTTTGGATAGTAATTAATATTCCACTATATATATATATATATATATATATATATATATATATATATATATATATATATATATATATATATATATATATATATATATCAAAATGCTCTTATTTTCAAGATTACTGTTGATGTATCTGTTGCTGCCTCTTGGCCAAATCCCCCTGATATCCTGGTAAAATAAAGGTTAAATAAAACAAAGTAATAATAAAAAAAATATATTTCTTTGTCTGTCCACCCATGTCAGGACCATTGTGTGTGCACTAAAGCCCAATAACCCACAAATGCAGGCTCTCAAGGCCACTCTAGAAAGGCGGTATCACCAAAAGCGACATGCGTTGACACACAAGCAGCCTCACCGGAGCAGCTTGTATTGAGGCTTTCACACTGAAAACGGCACCCTCTGAAACACATTCATTCACAGCAAAAGAGGCAGAAATTTTCAAAATAATGTGTGCAAAGCTGTCATGCTGTGAGCCGTGATGTGTATTTGTCTCGTGGTAAAAGCGACTAGAGCTACACCTGCTACTGACACCGAGAAAAAGAGCAACGACAAAGGAGAGAAAATTGTGATGACATTCTGATCTTGCATTGTGACTCTTGAGAAGGAGACAATTTTTCAGACACCAGATACTCTCTTCTCCACAGTTAGGGATATCCTCCAACTATTGGCTACACCAGTTTGTGTCAGAGCGTACAACTGTTAAAAATTCAGAAATGTCAACTTTTGACAACTCAAAGGTGCAGGCTCCACTGTGCTCTACTTTTGTTTTAAAAGATCATACATAAAGAAAAACCTCTCTAAACTCTCTTCCAGTTCACAATTGCACACAGGATGACAAGAAATATCTAATTTCGCATCTTGTGAGTGTAGCTTGTGTTTAAGGTCTGAGGATTTTGAATATTTTAGAACATTACAATGTGAGAGCAAAGAATCTATGCATTTAAACCAGACTAGGATGATAAAATCATTTTAAAGTAAAGGCTGGATAATATAACATCATTTAACCTTTCCACAATACTAATATTATAATAGACTGAAACATTTATTTTTTGTTTCCAATAACTCAGCCTGCATGGAGTCTCACTGACACATACGTCAGCGCCCCATCTAATGAAGATCACAGAGAGTGTTACATAGTATAAAATCAACAGAAATTAAAAGTTATTTCCCTAAACATTTGGCATCTCTTCACAAAACTTGCAATATTTGACAAGCCTTACCTAATCATGTCGTAAATTGCACATTTTTCATTTTGGTTTTAATTTCTATTGTTCAGTTCCAATGACTGCTATTGCCAGAAATCAACTCAAAAAGTATTCAGAGTTCATTATGAAATATGTTACTGGAAAGATTGAGTCCAGCTACTGATCTGGCCCTAAATAAAAAATGCAGTTACTCCAGTGAGCTTTTGGGAAAATTAATCGCCCACTCCGTTCTTAGAAATGACTTTTTATCAAATGGTTCCTCATGAAATGCGTAGATTTTCTCCAACCCCACAGCTGGAGTTAGAGAGCACTGTATGTTGTATAAAGGGACTAACTTTTTTCACTTAGGTGTTTTCCATATTGAGTCTATTATTGCAGTAAATTGTAATGAGGCTCCCTATGTCTATGAGTTTTGTTTTTTGATGATATTTTAATTTAGTAAGATGTTCTCATATGTCATCATGCAGTCTCAATCTGGAAGTTGTAGGGTTTCCTCTCAGAAACAGTGAAAGAGCAGGATGTTAAATGCGGGCTGATGGCGGATCAGAACCGAGACGGCTCACATATGCGGAGGTCCGTGTTTGCATCAGATGGGAGCACGGAAGCCAACACACTGGGCAAACCTTTGTGCGCCGCTGTCACTCAAAACTCTCACTGCTAAGAAGAACAAAGCCATCGAAGCTGCAGCTTTATTCATTTGCTCAGCTCTGCCAGCATTTTTTTTTTGTCATGAGAACAGCACAGTGACGCCGATAATGAAAGCATATTCTCCTCAAAACACAGCAGACAGCTCAGAGATGGAAGCATACAATAGTTTGGTTGCCGATACACGCTATTTCAGCGATTAGATTAAAAAGATGCATGCTTCACTGATGAGTTATCATTCAAACCAGAGTCTAACTAATTGTTAAAAAAGACAAAAAAATAAATAAATAAAATAAAATAGAAAAGTCAGATGTTGCAAATTCAAACAATTCTGTAAAGTTTGTGTTTTCTTTAGAAGAGTACAGAGACTCAATGCACTGGTTGAGTACAAAAGATCTCAGGTTTCAGGATTAGCTCGAATTGCCAGATCAAATCCAACATTGAGACAAAATTATGAATCAACAAGAATGGATCAGTAAAATGTGCATTGTTTAACTGAAATAAAAAACACAATCCTTTGGAGAAACACTCATCTTAGTTCTTGTCAAGGTTTGCAGACAGAAAAACAAGGCAACTGCTGGCAGAGTGTCATGTTATATTGCTGATCTAGTTTATCTGAGCCAAAATGTTTTGTATTTCCTGATGCAGAATGGCCAAAGAGAAATAAATTGGCAAATTGAAACTCTCTGCTTTAACCCAGCAAACCTGCAGTGAGGAGTTTATCTAAAAAAATCCACTAAACCACATCTATACAAAAGATCGCATAATACATAAGTAATCATTGAGAACAAAAAATATAGACAATAGAAATGTATTACTAAATATTGCGGTTAACATTTGTTAGAACAACTTCAGTAGTGGCTTTTTACAAATGATAAACACAGTCTCCAGCCCAGCTAGGACTAAATCCACATAAAGAAAATGTGCAATGCTAATGTGGTGCTTTTATATCCTCTAAAATGAAAACAAATAAAAAAACTACTTGCTGCCGGAGAGAGATACAGATTTCAGCTAACTGTAAAAAAACGTTGGCTTGTTTTTCAGTCACATTCTTTCCTGCTCTGAGAAACCTCTTGAGGGCTTTAACAGTTTATCGAAGGTGTTACCAAAACATAACAGCGGGCAAGGGAAGCATCTGCTTAACAAGCCTTGAGCACAGTCAGTGTTACAAAGAGTCAAAATAAATCAAGAGCCAAGGTATTTAAGCCAGCTGTAGAGGATGTTTTATAGAAATGTATGTAGAAACATTCAGTTCAGATCAATACGTTATTTCTCAGTAAATATTTATTGTGCTTTCTTACAACCGTCAGAGTGGCTCGTTTATGGATTCATAAAAGTTATGCTTCTGTGGTGATAATTTGTTTTCTAAACTATAACAAGGAGTTTTAAGGACTTGAGGAAATGTTCTTGATAACCAAACCCGAGAAATGAAGAGCGAAACAAAATCCGTCTCTTTAATCCAAGTATGGGAGAAAACCAATTCAGCTTCAGTTTTTTCTGTTGGTTTGAGCTCTTTTCAATTCATTTTAGTTGTTTCCATGCGTACACAAAACAGTCAGTCTTATTCATTTTAGACTTTATTTAATAATCTCATCTGGTCACGTCTGGTTCAAGCAGCAGATCGGAGAGGCAGAGACAATTGTACAGAAACAAAGATGACAAGAATAGAGACAAAAAAAAAAAAACTGGGTTGAAAGAAAAATCTAACATTTTGATTAAATCAAGATCTTAAAATAAACAGTGCTCTATTCTTTAAATTTCATAACAGCTGTTTGTGTGGTGAAATTGAATTTATTGCTGTCTAGACAGAGAAATAAAAAAGAAATAAAAAAGTTGATTTATTTAGCTAAGCGGAGAAAAAAAAGATGAGACAGATGTAAGTAATTAAAGTAAATAAATGTCTGGTTTTTGTGTTATTTATATTTCTTCAGCGCTGCAGAGTGAGTTACTATGGCTCAGGTCTCTCCATGTGATTGGCTGTTTCTCACCCATTTCCACACACCTCCCATCAAACAGGATTTGTTGTAGATGCGCGTGCACAGTGGCACGCACACGCACCCATTGATTGCAAATCGTATTTCCGTGAAGCACCAAACAACACCGACCAGTGTGGCGGCCCCCTCTCAGCTCCGGGGCGAATTACATAAAGCTAATCAATGCTGTGGCTGCTATAAATAATTCAGACTCTCCATCATCCATCAGCAGCCGAGATGCTGGCTGCTGGTGAAGGCACTGCGGAGGACCCGAGCCGGCCTCCTGCCTCCTCCCCATCAATGGTTTTTTAGTGGAAAAACCGCCACCTCCTCCCTGTCTCATCACGTACTCTCTCATCCAGGCGGTATGGCGGCAGGTTCCGCCTTCACCTGGACGGAGGGAGAAGACGCAGGTGGGTGACGGAGGAGGGAGTATAATCATCCGCAGTTTGTGCAGAACTAACACAAACCCCGCGGTTTCGGAGAGCGCGCTGTTTCCTGGATTTTGCAGCTCGCCAAAGCCGCCTGAATACGCCTATCTGCACCGTCACACACCGACAACAGTGGCAATAATAATTTAGATAAAAACCTCACCTCCCTAAAACCATACGAGCTGCAACAGAGGAGCAGCTCATCAGAGAAATAAGCAAAACACCAAGCGACCCTCCCCGGAGCCCCTCCCAGGATATTTTCTCTGCGCACGGCGCGTTTGGTTTTACTGACCTGATGCGTCTGGAGAGGGCGAGGCGAAAGGGATCCCGGCGAGTCTGCAGCCAAACCTCCGTGTGATGCCCGTCCTATATCCCGTCTCTCTCTCCACCACCGCCACCACCAACACCCCCTCCTGCGCACTATTACCTCACAGCCTCCTCTCAGCTCCTCCAAGACGGGAGAGAGAGCATATGGCAGCTCGGTCTGAATGAGAAAACATTTTTGTTGTGTACATGCAGGTGCAGCTCAACGCACAATAATATAATCAAAAAGTTCATGTTTTTCAGTGATTCAATTTAAAAACTCTGTAGTGGTGGTTATAATTAGTTATGTTATTCACCACCCAGGGCGACATGTGTTAAAGGGGCGTCACAACGATAAGGCATCAGTCATCTAGTATCTCTTATTCGCATGTTTCTTCTGCAAGTATTAGTCGCCATTTTGTGAAAAAAACTATGCTGGAATAATTTATTACAGCTGATTTAGACTCAGCACAAAATTAAAAGTAACAGTTTTTATAGAATCTTGACCAAACTTCATATTTGATCTTTAGTTCTAAATCTGAAATACTCAGAGTGGTGAAACTTAAACAAAACATATGATGCATTAAACATATAATGTGTAAAATAAGAATTGAGTACCTCAAAGTTTTTCTTAGTAAATATATTCTGTAACCTCTCTACTCGCCCGATGACTGCTGGAGACAGAGATAGACAATGGAGATATTCATGACTAATAATGTCCACCACAATAATTTGAATAATCTTTATTTTTTTATGTGACCTTACTAGTACAACTAATACAATTTTTGATCATTAGCTCATTGTGTTAAATCCAACTTTTATAAAAAGTATTTTTTTTTTCAATAAAAGTCATGACTGTATAACAGAGGGTGTCTGTTATGGGTTTGCTAAACGATGCTCCAAAGTGCCTATGAGAAGAAGCTGAAATGCTCACAGATGTTAGCTAAAAAACACATTGAAGTTTACTACTGGTTTATTACGGGTTTTACAAGCCGTGCTGTTGTTTGGAGGAACCCGCTTCACTAACTTCTATGTTAGAAAGTCGTTTGTTGGCCATAAAACATGTCCTGAGTCATTACTGGAGTGTCAAAGCCTGATGGCCACTAGAGTTATTGGAAGTGAAAGTAGCTATAGAAGAAGAAGATGTACATCTACAGCTCTACTGAGTTTATAATTCAATAAAAGCAGCAGAACATGAGCCAGAAGTTGAGGGAGAGCAGATGCTCAGGGAGCAGACGGCGCTTTACTGCTTCATAAATAAAAAGTTGTGCCGCCGCTGCATTCAGGTGTCAACAGCTTTCAGAGCGCGGCTGGAGGCTGCTGACGTAAAGCCTGCAGGAACACTAATGCACTCATTGTTAAAGTGTCATTACCAGCCTCATTTATCATCAGACAAACACACACGGGGCGTGCACAAACGCTAAGCAAACAGACAGGACAGGTGCTGTGCGCTGCACATCACTCTACCAACAAGGCTGAATGAAAAACAACCCCAGAGCATGGTTTGCAGGTAAACCCATGATCTGACAACTAAGACACAGAAAAAAAAACAAAACATTGAGTTAATTGTTTGAACAGTGTGAAGGTTGAGATATAACTTGACTGACAGTCAGGCTCTAGATTCATTTTAAGGTTTTAGAGATGATCACAGACGGCATGGAATCCATCAGATACGGCCATTAGAGGTGACATGATGCTGTGACAAATCCCATTTCTCCACAGTCAAGGTGACAATGTTTCCTGAAAAAAACTGGCTCCATATGCTTGAACTTTCTGCACATTTTGTTGCATTATAAACACAAACATCAATGGTTTAACTTGGATTTATTGGACTTACAGCTTTCTGTTTCATACCCCAAGCAACATGACAGACAGATCAGGAAGAAAGGTGTGGAGGAGTTAAAAGCAGGGTTGGGTTATAAAATGATATCACAAGCTGTAAATATGTCACAGAGCTCTGTTCAACCCAGGATCTCAAAATGGAAAGAGTATGGCACAACTGCAAATCAGGACATGAGTGTTTACCTAAACTGACAGATAAGAAAAAGAGTGAATTATTCAGAGACACAGTTTGCTCTGAAGGAGCTGGAGACATTCAGTCGATGTGGGAGGATCTGTCGGTGGATGAAAGTCTTTAGAAGTTGTGTTTGTGGATTGCTGTTTGCCATAAGCCACGTAGGTGACATATCAACCACGTGGAAGAAGATATTCTGTCCACATACGACCAAAATTTCACTTCTGACCAACATAAAAATGTTGTGTGTGAGGCAAAGTTTGTATGATTAAACATGGTGGTGGCAGCGTCATGCTGTGGCCACAATGTTGGGGAGATGGATGGAGCTGAACATGAGGTTTTCCAAACGCCCAAAATCTCTAAACGTACAGACAGAGCTAGAATTGGTTTGTTTAATTTAGAGCATATTCATCCATTAGAATGGCCTAGTCAAATTCCACACCTGAATCTTATTGAGAGCCTGCAGAAAAACTGTTCAGATGCTCCATATCTATGCTAGTTATTTTGTAATTAAGAACTGGAACACATTTAACTCTGTAGATGTGCAAAGCTGGCTGTGATGTATCCAGAAGGCTTACAGCTGTGATTAGAGCAGAAGGACAAATATTCACAAAATATTTCAAAGTTTAATCAGTAAACTTTTCATGACACTGATTCTCAGGGCCTGGATTTGAGAACTAGTTGGTGAACCTTTGAGGAAAAACAGACATCAGCAGTGAACCTACCAATGTAAGTTTGAAGCATGAGCCACCAGTCAACACAAGAATAAACAGATGTGAGGATGTAACTGCATTAACCAGCTTTAAATAGCAATGTCCTGCCAGAGAAAAGATACAAATTAATGTACTTTGGGTCTGTTGGTGTCCAGACAACATGCATGACTGTCTCATGTGTTATTGGTCTTAATGAAGCTGTTTATTCACTGATGTTCTCTAAAAAAACAAAACAACAACAAAAAAAAACTTCTAACGCCTTCACAGAAAAGTGTTAATTAAACTCTCCTAAAAATTGCATAGACGTTTATGGTTGTAACATGAAAAAAATATGGAAAAAGGTTCAAGGGGTGTGAATGTCTTTACAAGGGACTGTAATTTGTATTGCTGTAAACACAGCTTTTCAGCTGCCTGCTGGATTGAAAACCTTAGAGAGGAAAAAAAGCCCACAAATTTAATTGCTGCCACTGTTTTCTATGAATAAAATTACTCTCACAGAGCACAAGCTGTTTACTCGTTGGGCAGATGTCACTTAAGAAACTTGTGAAGTTCAATCTTGCCGAATAATTCATTCATGGGGTGGGGGAGAGGGGAATAAAATCCTGTGTGTATTGTCTGCTTAGTCTGTTCTGCTGTTGACGGCAACAACAAAAAAATACATTGATTGTGCTGTAAAACGGCACTATGTGGCTGGAAAATACATAATACAGCCCTTTAACTGTTTCACAAAAGGATCTTCATGCTGGGTATTCACTGGATACATTTCTCTGCTTCTGCTCAAAGGTGACTCTGTTCCATAATTATTTTTTTGCAAAACTCACAAATGTTGAAGTCTTAGAAGTAGCTGCCTTTTCATTTTAAACCCCTGATGATTTTAAAGCATGAAATGTATTTTTGTTACCTTCAGTTGCTGTATATATCAAACATGACTTAAAATAAATTTGACTTTCCAATTTAACTCCTTGAAATTGGGTCTTTGTCTCTTTAAGAAGCTCTTGGTCTTTCCGACACGCCGCCTTCAGCACGTCATCACAACAATGTTTCTCCATGAAGCCCTTCACAGCATTCTGACGAGCGTTGGACTGATAAGAAGTTTGTTTAATAAGCTCAGCAGACACACACTTCCACCAGGTGTTTACTAATTGCTGCTCATTGTTACAGTATGCTGTCTATTTTTATAGGTCAGTTTTATTAATTAGAAGCCGTGCAAACTCATCTCCTTACCAAACTTTATGGCTTATTCTAGCTGAGCAGCCCAATAACGCTAACTTTTCTTTTCCATCTTTGCAAAGTTGCAGTTTACTCTTCTATTTCTCCCTTATCTTCTGTAACAGTTGCCTCTAGGCTCCTTTCTAACAGCATGCCTATGTGCTCACTTCTACTTTCTCGTTTCCCTTCTCTGCTAAAGTTTCTTATAAGTTATTTTTTTTTATCTCGTTTCTCTCACCCCCTCCCCTCCCCCCTATCTGTAAAAGCATAAATTGGCTGTTTAAAAAAAAAATCTGCGCACTACTCAGATGAGATCTTAGTCCACTCGATTGATTGCAGTTTTGGTCAATTTGCATTTCTTGATTCTAGATTTGTGAAAATCACTCACAGCTTTTCTCGCTTGTCTTCTGATAATAAAGTCGGGAGACAAAAATAAACACTTAAGCAAATTATTAGAGAGTTTCAGAAGAAAGTAAAGGTTGCATCTGAACTGAAAACCTATTATCAACTTAACTATCCCTCACTGACACAGTTTCTATATTTGCTTCCATTCTTTTAGATCGGTTTCCTCCTCCCTTTTGTGTACCGTCGAGGCGTACAGCCCTGATTAGTCCATTAGTCACAGAAAGGAGTATAGTTTATCATCAGTGAATGAGCCATCGCTCCTGCCCCTGAAAACGATCCATCACTGTTGTTAGTCACCTCAGCAGTTAGAAGCAGATTGGAGGAGAAAACATGAGATTAATAGCAACAACATGACTCTCATTACAGCAGCCCAAAGGGAGAAAGTGGAAGGGCAGCGGCTGCAGCAAACAACCCCGGTACAATATCAGGTTATTAATAGGACAGGTTTCTCATGGACCCTGGAAATTCTTGAACATGACTAAATTCAATGCTCAGAAACTGGGAAGTAGCCTCTGTTTTTGATATCTGCTTTAAACTTTGAGGCTTGGTTTCTTGCTATTTAACAAATTTCATTTTGCATTTGTATACATGCTGTTTGAAGGAGCTACTATATCACCATCTTCGAATACACCTTTATCTAATATTTTTTTGACAAAAATTTATTTTGGCCTCATATTATAGTTGGCAAAAAAAAAAAACATTCACCACTGTTTTTATAAGAAATTTTGATCTAGATATTTCTTTTCCCAAAAACTGGCACAAAATGACCAAGAATTA